TACTCAGGAACCGCGCTCCCGCTTGGGACTTCCTCACCACTTAGTCCGGGTCAAACTGCGTTGTTGCTCCCCCGGACTACAACAACAACGGCTCCCGCTTGAGACTTCCTCCAACTTTATTCAGGACCCCCGCTACCGCCTGAGACTTCCTCCCAATTTACTCAGGATCGGCGCTCCCGCCTGTGACTTCTCGCAATTTATTCAGGACCCCTCCTCCCGTCTGAGGCTTCTTCACAATTTACTCAAGAACGGCGCTCCCGCTTAAGATTTCCTTGCGCTTTAGTCTAGACCCACGCTCCCGCCAGACATTCCCTTTTCAGGAATTGCATTCTCGCCTGTGACTTCTTCGCAGTTTATTCCGAAATCGCGCTATCTACGCTCAGGCACCACGCTCGCGCCAAGGACGCCGTCACACTTTACTTAGGAATCGCGCTCTCGCCCTATTCAGACATCCCGCTTGAATGTCCCACCCGCCCGACCCGCCAGTCAGAGGATCGCACGCCCGTCGGGGGCTGCCGCCCGAGACTTCCTTGTGAAATGGCGCTTTCGCCTAGGACTTTTTCGAACGCTCGCACTCTTACCTTCTGTTCCTCCCTCCTCCCAGGCCGCCTCCCCCCTCCTTCCAATTCACTCTCCCTCGCCTCCAACACCTTGCCGAGCAGCACCGGAGGTGTTACATGGCGCTGTTTATGGCGTGACCCATGGCGAAGCCTTTGTTAACCTGTGTTGGAATGGCTGGCGCAAGCCATGGCGCAAGCTGAATCGCAGCTCACGGCGCAAATAATCGTCGTCCCTCCCTCTTGCCCCTCTAATCCCTCCCTTCCTCCGATCCCTTCGTCCTCCCTGTTTGTTTTTTCAATTTCGTTTCCCTGTTTAGGGGCTTCTCCAATTACACGTGGCCAGGAAGGAATATAATCCCCCCAAAGGGGGTACGATCGAAGACAAAGAGGGCGGGTATCCAGGGTTTGGGATATGCATAGTGAATGACACGCGGGCCGGTAGGAACGAACAGTCTTGGAATGATTATTGTTGTTGTTGTTGTCGTCGTCGTCGTCGTCGTCGTCGTCGTTGTTGTTGTTGTTGTTGTTGTTGTTGTTGTTGTTGTTGTTGTTGTTGTTGTTGTTGTTGTTGTTGTTGTTGTTGTTGTTGTTGTTTTTGTTTGTTGTTGTTGTTGTTGTTGTTGTTGTTGTTGTTGTTGTTGTTGTTGTCGTTGTTGTTGTTGTTGTTGTTGTTGTTGTTGTTGTTGTTGTTGTTGTTGCTGTTGTTGTTGTTGTTGTTGTTGTTGTTGTTGTTGTTGTTGTTGAACTCTAATTACTGAAGAATAATTATTGTTGATCCCCCCCCTCCGGCGGACATTGTATTTTTTCAATTGAAGTGCCCCTTCCGGGGCTCGCACCCTGTTTTTTATCAGGGAAAGTCGTGGGCATCAAACTGCGTTGTTGGCCCCCCGGACAACAACAACAACGGCTCCCGCCTGATACTTCCTCCAAATTTACTCAGGACCCCCGCCCCCGCCTGGGACTTCCTCGCAGTTTACTCAGGCGGAGGCGCTCCCGCCTGAGACTTCCTCGCAAATTACTCCGGACCCCCGCCCCCGCCTGGGACTTCCTCGCAGTTTACCTCAGAGTCCGCCGCTCGACCCGTCTGTCTGGTTCGTCCGTTTGTTTACCTCCTCTTTTGCCCCCCTCCCCTCCTGCTAACCTCTTTCGTCCTCCATCCATCCTCCCCCCCTTGCCCCTTCCCTCCTCCCTCCCTCCCCCCACTCTTTTCCTCCTCGCTCTCCCTTCCTCCTTCCCCCTGCTCTTCCTGTTTTAGGGGCTGCGCCAACTACACGTGGCGAGTAAAAAAGATTTACCCCCAAAGGGGTATGACCGAAGACGAAGAGGGTGGGTATCGAGGGTTTGGGATTTACATATTGAGTGACGCGCGCGCATATAAGAGCGATCAGTCTTAAGATGATTGTTGTTGTTGTTGTTGTTGTTGTTGTTGTTGTTGTTGTTGTTGTTGTTGGGAAAGGCGCGCGTGGGAGCCCTGGCCGCCCCCCCCCCCCCCCCCAGCAACCGAGCAACCGAGCAACCCTCTCTGGGGGTCTCCTGGGGGCGCCAAGGATTTCCTAATAGGATTTCCTAGGACTTCTATAGGCTTCCACAGGAATTCTGTACACCTCCCTAGGAATGCTATCGGCCCCATCGGAATTCTATAGGCCTCCAAAGGAATTCTACAGGCCCCCATGGGAATTCTATAGGCCCCCATAGGAATTCGATTGGCCTCCATAGGAATTCTATAGTCCTCCATAGGAATTCTATATAACCCCCCATCGGAATTTTACCGACCTCCATCGGAGTTCTATAGGCCTCCATCGGAATTCTATAGGCCTCCGTAGGAATTCTATAGCACCCCATAAGAATTCTATAGGCCTCCATAGGAATTCTATAGGTCTCCATAGGAATTCTATAGGCCTCCATAGGAATTCTATAGGCATCCATCAGCATTCTATATAGGTCCCCATGGGAATTCTATTGGCCTCCATACGAACTCCATAGGCCTCCATCGGCGTTCTATAGGCCTCCATAGGAATTCTATAGGCACCCATACACATTCTATAGGCGTCCATCGGAATTCTATAGGCCCCCATAGGAATTCTATCGGCCTCCATGGGAATTCTATCTAGGCATCCGTCGGAATTCTATATAGGTCCCCATAGGAATTCTATTGGCCGCCATACGAATTCCATAGGCCTCCATCGGCGTTCTATATGCCTCCATAGGAATTCTACAGGCACCCATACACATTCTATAGGAGCCCATCGGAATTCTATAGGCCCCCATAGGAATTCTATCGGCCTCCATGGGAATTCTATCTGGGCTTCCATCGGAATTCTATAGCCCTCCATACGAATTTTATATAGACCTCCATCGGAATTCAATCGGCTCCATCGGAACTCTATAGGCCCCTATCGGAATTCTATAGGCCTCCTTACGAAGTCTATAGGCCCCCATCGGAATTCTACACGCCTCCATAGGAATTCTATAGGCCTCTATGGAACTTCCATAGCCCTCCATACGACTTCTGTATAATGATCTTATACAGTGTAGGATCCTATACAGTCTGTAGCGGATCCTACAGGATCTGTATCGGATTGTGTAGGATCCAGTACAGTCTGTATCGGATCTGTATAGGATCCCATACAGTCTGTATCGGATCTCTATAGGATCGCATACAGTCTGTATTGGATCTCCACAGGATCCCATCCAGTCAGTATCGGATCTGTATAGAAACCCATACAGTCTGTATCGGATCTCTATAGGACCCCATACAGTCTGTATCGGATATGTATAGGATCCCATCCAGTCTGTATCGGATCTCTACAGGATCCCATACAGTTTGTATCGGATCTCTACAGGATTCCATACAGTCAGTATCGGATTTTTACAGGATCCCATACAGTCTGTATCGAATCTTTACAGGATCCCATACAGTCAGTGTGGGATCTTTACAGGATCCCATACATGCTGTATCGGATCTCTACATGATTCCATACAGTCAGTATCGGATCTCTACAGGATCCCATACATGCTGTATCGGATCTCTACAGGATTCCATACAGTCAGTATCGGATCTCTATAGGATCATATACAGTCTGTATCGGAAATGTATAGGATCCCATACAGTATGTATCGGATCACTACAAGATCCCATACAGTCTGTATCGGATCTGTATAGGATCCTATACAGTCTGTATCGGATCTCTACAGGATCCCATACAGTCTGTATCGGATCTCTACAAGATCCCATACAGTCTGTGTCGGATCTCTATAGGATTCCATACAGCCAGTATCGGATCTCTACAGGATCCCATACAGTCTGTATCGTATCTCTACAGGATTCCATACAGTCTGTATCGGATCTCTACAGGATCCCATACAGTTTGTATCGGATCTCTACAGGAGATTCCATACAGTCAATATCGGATTTCTACAGGATTCCACACAGTCAGTATCGGATCTCTACAGGATCCCATACGGTCTGTATCGGATCTCTACAGGATTCCATACAGTCAGTATCGGATCCCTACAGGATCCCATACAGTCTGTATCGGATCTGTGTAGAATCCCATGCAATGTGTATCGGATCTCTACAGGATCCCATACAGTCTGTATCGGATCTGTATAGGATCCCATACAGTCTGTATCGGATCTGTATAGGATCCCATACAGTCTGTATCGGATCTCTACATGATTCCGTACAGTCTGTATCGGATCTCTACAGGATCCCATGCAGTCAGTATCGGATCTCTACAGGATCCCATACAGTCTGTATCGGAATTCTACAGGATTCCACACAGTCAGTATCGGATCTCTACAGGATCCCATACAGTCTGTATCGGATCTCTACAGGACCCCATACAGTCTGTATCGGGTCTGTATTGAAGCGGCGGCACGCTGGCGCGCATACGTTTTTCACCCACAGGACCACGTCAAGGTCCGTAAGGGAGTCCAAGGGAGTTCCAGGTTTTTTGTTTTTTTTGGTTGCTGGTTGCTGTTGCTGTTGCTGGGGGGGTCAGAATGCGTCCATAGGGCTCTGAGCGCAGCCTTTGCAATAAGGCGAGGGCGGGTCCGGACGGCTAGAGCTCACGGGGCTCTCACGCGCGCCTTTTCCTTGTTGTTGTCGTCGTTGTCGTTATCGTTGTCGTCGTCGTCGTCGTTGTTGTTGTTGTTGTTCTTGTTGTTGTTGTTGTTGTTGTTGTTGTTGTTGTTGGGTGCTACGCCTATCTGCAGATGATGTGACAACCATGCGACTTCGATCAGCCACTCGCAGAGGGGGGTAGGGGGAGGGGGAAGGGTTCTTAGAAGGACCCCTGCTTCTTAGAAGGCGTGGGCCTTATTATATTGAAGGCTGGTCCCTTATAAGAACTAGCCTCCCTCTTAGAAGCCTTTCCCCTCCCCCTACCCTTCTGTGCGCGCCGCCCATTTGAAGCGCTTAAGTGCAAGTTTCTTCATATTTTGGCTCGAAGGTAGTGTTTATCGCCCTTGAGAGCAATTGCGGGCTCGGAGTGACAGCTCAGCACAAGGAGCTGGGCGCGTGTCGTTCATGCAGTCGTGCTTTGTCAGTTTGCGAGCTTTTTCTCATCGTTTGGCTGTTTTCAATGCTGCCTTTCCTGCCTCGCTGTTTCCCCAGCATGGTGCTCCCTCGCATGCTCCAGGTAAGGTCGGATGAAGAGGGAGGGCGAGGATGGGACGCAGACGAGTGCAAGTGCCGACGATGGTGGTGACGATCGAGATAGTGCTTATGGTTGTGGTAGTGGGTCTCACGAACTCGATTGCACGGGTAACCAGCGCTTCAACCGATTAGGACGATGGCACATTTGCTTTCGTGGCCGCTCCGTGGCCCCGTCGTGGTCTCTGGGCGCGGCGAGCCCTGGCGCGGCCCCGTCGTCCTGAGGCCCGCGGCCCGTGTCCTTGCCTCCCCCGTGCGCGGAGCGAGGTCCGACTCGACGCGGCTGCTGGCCGGTGGCTCCGCCGTCTCTTCGGTGTGGGCACCCGCGGGGACTTCCGAGTCAGTCGTGGGCCCATGGTGCCGTCGTGCGCCTTCGCGGCTGGAAGGCTCTCGCGAGTCACCGCCGCCCCCTCGCCGCTCGCGTGTCCCTCTGCAGCCTCCTCCACAGCCGGACGTCGGGCCACCGTGTGCTTGGCCGTCTCAGAGGTCTCTCTTCGGTCTCCTGGGGTTCTCTCTTGGGGCTTTCGCCTCTTGAGGGGCTCCTTCGGTTGCAGCTCGTCCCAGTGGCCTCTCGGAGTCCACCTGGGCGTCCTCTTGTGGGCCTCTCGTGCGCCCCCTGGGGTTCTTGGGCGGCTGCTGAGGCCCCTTCGTCCCTGTGGCTGCGTCTTGAGACCCCCCTGCGATGCCGCGCTGATGATGAGGCAGCCCGCGGCCGTGGCCAGAGGGACTGGAGAGGTTCTGGGAATGAGCTCCGCCGACCAGTGAAGACGACCTTGCGCCCGGCAATCGAAGGCGCCTCAAGCGAACCAACGGCGCCCACTACGAATCTGACAATGCCCACGTGGCTTGACGGCGGACCAACGTTTGGCTGACACATTGTCCTGAGTGTTCCCCCAACCGTTGCGGAAACAATTGGGGCAACATGGGGAGTGCGATTTTCCATCATTTGGTGACTTGGGGCGCTCTTTGGGTCTTCTGCGGCCCACCGAGGCCATCTTGTGGGCCTCTGGGGCTGTCTTGGTGGTCTCGGGTGCCGTCTTGGAGTCGTCTTGGCACCTCTTGGGGGCAGCTTGTGCTACCCTGAGGATCTCTGCGACCGTGTTCTAAGAGCTCTCTTGGGTCGGTTTGGGAGCCTCACAGTTGGCGTCCTTCTGTGCCTTGCTACTGGCAGGCTGAGGCTTCTCGATGTCTTTCTTGGGACCGCTTAGGTTGCTCTTGGAGCCTGTCCGGCCACCTTGCGAGCCAGGCTTCCTGGGCTGTTATTGGGGCTTCTTCGACGGAGCTGGAGAAGGCAGCCTCAGAGCGCTTGGGGCCACCTGGGGCAGAGCGGGGAGGCAGTGCCGAAGACCAGCTGCGACTCGGCACCCAGCCCGCCACCCATGGGACCCCCAGATTTCTCGGGGTGGAATTCCAGGGGGGGGGGGCTATGGGTCTGTGCTGTCGGATGGGGGCCCCTGCTTAAACGGGAGCCCCCCTTGGGGTCCGACAGCTCGCACCCATGCGTAGCTATAGCGCCCTACTCGCCTTACCCTTCCCCATTCACCCCTCCTATAGGTTTGACAGCGTGTTGTTCCTTCAGGTGGAGACCCCACAGCCACGGCCGCAGCCCCCGACTTTCCCCTGAAGGCTGGGGCCCCGCGTGCCCGGAGACGCGCCGCAGCCACGTCCGCTCCCCTGCTTCGGGGCGGCGAGGCCTGTCCGTATCCACTGCCCCCGGGCACGGCCCATCCTGTGCCCCGGAGCGGTGTCTTTGCCTCCCTGGCCGAGCCTCGAAGGAGAAGCAACGGCACAGACACAAGCTGTCGGCGCTCCGCGCGGACGGCTTGGATCGGTGCCAGGGGGGCCCAGCGCCGATCCAGGAAGTCCGCGCGGAGCTCCAAGGGTTCGTGCTTTCAGCCGCTTTTGGTTCCTCTAGGGTGGAAGTGAGAAGGAGAAGGCCTTCTCAGAAGGCGGCGGGACTTCTCAGAAGCCCTCGCGCCTTATCGTCAGTTTTCTGTGACTTCGGGGGAGGCTCCGAAAACTTCTCCGAAGGCTGGGACACTTCTGGGGGAACGAAGAATGGCATAAGCATAAAAACTCGGAGGTCCGCGTGGACTTCTCGGATTCGCGCTGGGCCTCCCTCCCTGGCGCGCGCAGTGCGCCAGGGGCGGCGCCGGAGGCGCTGCCAGGTGGCCCCAGCGCCGATTCGAGAAATCCGCGCAGACCTCCGAGCTTCTATGTTTATGTGATTGCTCGTTCCCCTAACTTCGGAGCCTTCTGAGGAGGCCTTCCCCTCTTGCTTCCCCCCCTCGCTCGCCGCCGAAAGAGGCGGAGGAGGAGGAGGAGGAGGAGGAGGAGGAGGAGGAGGATGAGGAGGAGGAGGATGAGGAGACTGAGAAGGAGGAGGAGATGGAGGAGGAGGAGGAGGAGGAGGAGGAGGAGGAGGAGATGAGGAGGAGGAGGAGCAGGAGGAGGAGGAGGAGGGGAGGAGGGGAGAAAGGGTGGATGGGGAGGAGGAGGAGGAGGAGGAGGAGGAGGAGGAGGACGAGGAGGAGTTGGAGGAGGAGGAGGAGGAGGAGGAGGAGGAGGAGGAAGAGGAGGAGGGGGAGGAGGAGGAGGAGGAGAAATAAAACAAATAATAATATGAATATTATACAGTAGTAGGATTACTAATACTAATCAGAGTAATACTGTTAGTATTAATTGTAATAGTAAACTAATATAAGACTAGGAAGAGCCCCCCTACCGGGAAATCGGTTTCTTTTTCGTGTTCGTGCGTGCCGTGCGTGCGGGCGAGGCGAAGCTGCGTGGGCGGGCGAGAAGAAAGTCTCCTCCGGCTGAGGCGCGGCCGGACCAAATGTTTTCCCTGCGGGGGCCGGTGCCGCGCGGTGTCCCGCCGGTGTCCCGCCTCCGGCTGAGGGGCGGCTGGACCAAATGTTTCCTTTCCGGGGGCCGGTGCCGCGCGGTGTCCCGCCGGTGTCCCGTCGGTGTCCCGTCGGTTTCCCCGATGATGATGATGATGATGATGATGATGATGATGATGATGATGATGATGATGATGATGATGATGATGATGATGATGATGATGATGATGATGATGATGATGATGATGATGATGATGATGATGATGATGATGATGATGATGATGATGATGATGATGATGATGGAGGATGATGATGATGGATGATGATGAGATGATGATGATGATGAGAGGAGGAGGAGGAGGAGGAGGAGGATGATGATGATGATGGATGATGATGATGGTGATGTTGGTGATGTTGGTGATGATGATGGTGCCCCGATGATGATGATGATGATGATGATGATGATGATGATGATGATGATGACGATGCTGATGATGATGATGATGATGATGGTGGTGGTGGTGATGATGATGGTGTCCCGATGATGATGATGTTGATGATGGTGCTATTGCTGATGATGATGATGATGATGGTGTCCCGATGATGATGATGATGATGATGATGATGACGATGATGATGATGATGATGATGATGTGGATGATCCTGATGATGATGAGATGATGATGAGATGATGATGACGATGATGATGAAGAAGATGAAGATGATGATGATGATGATGATGATGATGATGATGATGATGGTGTTGATGATGATGATGATGATGATGATGATGATGATGATGATGATGATGATGATGATGATGATGATGAGGTTGATGATGATGATGCTGTTGATGATGCTGATGATGATGGTGTCCCGATGATGATGTTGATGATGATAATCATGACGATGATGGTGTCCTGATGATGAGGATTATGAGGTGATGATGATGAGGTGATGACGATGATTTTGATTATGGTGGCCCCATGATGGTGCTGATGATGATGCTGATGTTGATGATGAAGATGGTGTCCCCATGATGATGATGATGATGATGATGATGATGATGATGATGATGATGATGATGATGTTGACGATGCTGATGATGATGATG